GAATTCCGTTCAGTTACCAGTCCTAGTAACTACACCGTATAGTCGATTATCAACGAGTAATAAGCACAACACCTTGCAACGAGAAGCTAAGACTACTTGACCTGATGAGGACTGGATATGACGAGGCCCGTTGCAGTGGGAGTCAACGCGTAGACAACTCAGAACAGTGAGCCGTGGTGTTGATAGATCAAGACCTGGTTGTGACAATCGGGCTTCTGTCCTGCGTCGATTCCGCTGGCTGTACCGGCTGCAACTCAGTTCCTAAAGGTCCAGCTACGTCAGGAGGGGAAAAGTCGCACTGTCCTTGCGACAGGAGTATAAAGGCAGTATAGCGTTCCCTTCAGGAGGCTAACATATCTACATTCATGAGAGTAACAACGAAGTACACGATGGCACTCAATAGTTTGGTCCTAATCACGGATCTCTCGGTCAGTAGCTTTGGTCTTAACGGCGAACTGAAATTGAACTATCGATAGCGGATTAAACCGACGGATACCGTAGGTTGGAATTGTCGCTTTCAAAGAGACCCACGTAACAACCACGTTGCCAGTTACGTGCCTTCTGCGTGAATTGTAGTAAAAAACTGTCGGAGCTAGGTGTCAAAGCAAAGATGCGGTCGATGCATCATTAGCCAGAATTAGACTCAACTTGAACTCGAAGAACCCGGCACTTCCGGTAGTCAACCGGCTAGGCGTTCCAGCAATGGCTCTAGCTGCTACCGCTTCATTCACCGCGAATATGGAGAATAACAAAATGAAACGGACTGAAAACAATGACTCAATCAGCGCACTGGTGTGAGATGTTTGGTATGGTGAGGAATGGGGGTTTTGATGCAAGACCACCACTGGTTGCGTGACAGGCATTTACGTTATGGTCAATTTGTCTTCCCGTGTTTCTCATCCGAGACGGCGGTTACTAAAGCAACCGAGTTGACTGACAAAGGTTTTCACGCTTCATCGCCAATTCATAGACTGTGTCGTCTACATCTGACATGATGCTGGGTGAGAGAAGACCACGAGGCTCCTCTGGCAACCGAGGTAAATGACCTAACCTGTGGAGTGTCACGAGCTATGAAGGGAAAATTACATACTAAACATGGGCGTCCCAGCTTTGCCTATATGACGTTCTAGGCAAACCCACTGAATACTGGGAGTCACGGAATGTCAAACTATCAGGAAGGTCAGATTCCTGAAAGCAACTTCAGAACGCCCGGAACCTACTGCTCCACCAAAAACTCAACTGGAAAACCGGCAAGCATTCAGGCCAATCATTCAATCAATTCAGCAAAACCTGATTAGTATTCTTGCGGCCACATAAGCACGACCGAATGTGATCAGCGTTCAGGCTTTTCACAGAGGCACGATCGATGTTGATGGGTGATCACTAACGCCTATCAGACAGCCTGGATCAATGTCAGAAAGTCCCCTTTAAATAGCGTGGGGCCGTTGTAATTTTTGCTCTCGCACTCTCTCTCACTCGCTTTTTCGGAGTACAGCTGTTGTGTTCCCTTCTGTGAGTCTTTTCTCTCCGACACTAGGCACTGGAGCGGGTCAGCAGCAGATACCACAGACTGACGAATCAGCAGATATAACACAAACACGGAGGGTTCCCGAAAGCTCTGCACATGCAGCGACCTCACCTGATCAAAAGGTTGGACGGTTCGGAACGTGGCATCGTACGCTCTGCCCTTGCCAGTCAATCTTTAACGTCAGTGCCAAATGCGCTGGAGGTCGGCGAACACCACCCTGGCCTTCGCAGCTCGGGAAGTGACTCATCTTCCGCCAATTCGACGGGGTTGAAGCAGCCGTCCACATTAACGAACTTAGCTGCCACACGGATACGCACGGCTGCAAACACCATGTGTTGAATGCCACCGAATCTTGCGGCGGCACTATACAGCTACGAAGATTATACCAAACTGTGCAACAGGATGACTAAGGTCATTTAATTTATTTTGCATTCTGAAAGTTCCGATCCAAGGAGAGAAACACCGACGACGTATACGATGCCTGTGACCAACCACCCCGAGAATTTTTCGGCCTCGAAAGTACTGGAAGCAAGTAAAGACTAGAGCAGGACGCTAATTACGAAGGACTAGGGGATAGCTTTGTCCGGCACCATGGTCGATGGGATTTACCTCACAACAACACTGGAAGGAGCAAAAAGATGTTAATGGAAAGCCGTTCCACTAAACCGTGCGCTAAGCTAGAAACTGATTGGGGAAAGCTACATGTTTCAGCAGGTACGGACAGCATCGATAACAAGCATTGACATTCAGAATATCATACCGGACATGTATTACAATTCAATCTCGGAAAACGGCATCTCGCTGAGAATGTAGTTCAGGTGTCTTCAAGAGTATATTACTCCGGAAGGCATAATTGTCGGGCCGTCACGGATTGGTGTTCTCACAAAGATGTTGGTATCAGCGGCGTAGGCGAGGTGGCTCAGTGGTTGGGGCGCGAATTTACTGACCGGGTCTGTGATTTGGACCTGAACTCTGCCTCTCGACTTCCCCTGTCTAGGTTTGCGTAACCTGGCAGCATCCCAGATTTCGTGCTCCCTTCTAGTGACATGTACCTAAGCGCCAAAGAGATGCTACAGCTGAATGAATGATCAGCGACGGCGACAATCACGAAGCACTACAAGGTTCTAATGGCTTCCTAAGCACTGCTTACAAGCAGTGCATCCGGAAGCCAGAGTAACCATCATAATTGCCGGTCTAGATACGGCCTCGTGGCCGGTATGTTTGAAGTTCGCTGTTCTAACTGGTTCCTCCGGTGCTCCACCGTCCAACCGGATCGACGTCAACACAAAGGGGCTTGCCCGGGTTGTGGGAAACCAGGGACCGCAGTTGATCGAACTTGAGTAGATGACCCGTTGTCAGAACTTACTCGAATAGTACTTTGCACAGGCAACGACGCACTAAAAAGGCCACAGGAGGAACTTCAGTGCATCAGTCTTTGTCAATTTCAAATAAATAAACGGCTGGCTAGTACTAGAGACCTCACCCGCACGGAACACTTTTCAGCACACGCTCGCATCCATTCACTATGAAGTGGTGGGAAAGTGGTGGCGCAAATCGATCTGTCGGACACCAGATCGTACGAACAGGATCACCTAAGCGCATCCTAAACATGAACGGGTCACTCGTGGGGATAATTGGCGGCGCACAGTACCCAGACTGAAAGTTTCCTAGGTGTTCAGACAGATATACGGAATTCGGAGATCAAGCAAAGCGAAACTGACGAGAGATCTTGTTAGCCCTGAAATAACTTGCGCCAGCGTAAGGGGATGCAGCAAACGCCCGAACGGACTGCTTGGCTATGTGCCCCGGAAAACCGTCATCTAGCTAGCTACACATGAGATGACGGGATTAGCGACCTGGCGGATGCAGTGATGAGATGAGCTTGAGGCATCCCTGCTGGTGGTATCGTAAGGCCTTTACAAAGGTGACTGGTACAGATTGGA